TTAAATGTAAAAGTGAAGTGGGAGGAACTCACTTTTAGCCAAAATCACTTTTAGCCTAATCAGAAATCACTCAGGGAACTGATCAAGAAATTCATTTTAACACTTCCTACGGAGAGCAAATTACTGAAGCTGAAGATATTTCCTAAATGTGTCAAACGCAATTTAGAAGTTCTTCAAATATTGTATTTTCATTTTTTTTATTTTTTTCGTTTCCAGTAAAATTTGTTTTTAAATGATACAGTACTTTGGTTCGGGGACAATCAGGTGAAATGTCGTTGGCAAAAAAAAAAAGACAAAACTTCTTACCACAGCACATTCACTGTAGTCTTCTCATCTAAATATATATTTTATATTACATTAAAAAAAATCTAATTCTCTGAACCTCTGGGCCTCTTAGAGAATATAGTTTTTATTTTTTAATAGCTTCACAATTCAATATATATTTTTTGGAATCATAAAAGTAAACTTTGCCTCAAGCTTTTCCTTTTTCTTCTGTGTGTTTTTATGTAACTTGAATGGAAAAAAAAAATCAATCATTTCGTTGTCGATGTTTGATTCACTATTACTCACTACATGTGTGTGATTTGGGAAAACTAAATCTCCAGTGCTCCTGGTTGACAGGAAGTCCGGGGAGGGAATGAAGGAAGAAGTGAAGAAATCAAACGGAGAGTGACACTTTGAAAATGGAAAAATGTAACAGCGACAGAAGAAAACGACTGATGAGAGGGTGAACGGACGGGAGACGCTAGCAGAGAACAGACAGAACGCAGTTCCTAATGGAACCAGGCGGGGTGAGGAGACAGTTACACTGAAAAAATAATGTCGTGCCTATAGTATCGCGATATATCGTATCGTTGCCCCTGTATCGTGATACGCAAATATTTTTGATACAAACGTCCACATTTATCTGGTCGAAGGCTGAGTAACTGTGCCTACGATGTCTCATCCAAGGACACATTGGCATGTAGACCAGCGTTCATGTTCGTGTTCTGTTACTGTATACGTAGCATTAGCATTTCCCAGCAGACGGCGCAGGTGTCAGGACAGACGCAGAGAACACGTACCATCGTACAGTACTTTAGGGAAAAGAAAAAAAACCAGGAGACGGAAGAAACGTTTAAGGTGTGAGGAAAGAAACCAGAGATTTGACAGACTGTGTGCCCCCCCCAACCACCACCCCCGCCCCTCTTT